CATCCAATGCCCCTCCCTCCCCCCCGGGGCCCAGTGTGCCCCCTCTAGCATGGCCTTCAGGAAAGGGGTGAAATCCTGGCTGTGCCAGAAGGCCTGGGGGCTGGATGGGAGCTCACACCAGTGGAGGTGACGTGTGGGGTGATTGACCTTGCCCCCCGTCATCTTGAATGTTTTTAGTTTTTATTTATGGGGGATTTTTAATTGTTGATGGGGTTTCTGATTTTCACTGTGTGCTGCCCAGAGTCACTCACTGGGGGGAGATGGGCGGCATACAAATATAAAAAACAAAACAGAAGTTTGGACTTGCAGCTTTGTGTATTGACCTGTGTGTATGGTACTGAATTCAGATCCCCTGCCTTGACTTTTCTTTAAAACCCATCAAGGAGGCGAGTACAGGGAGTTTTCCAAGTTGGGAAAAGTTGCACCTACTAAATTTGGCTAATACAGATGGATATGGACTTCATTTTGTTTTATTTTAATGAGGCAAGGACCAATATTTGCCAATTTCCAGAAAAAAGAGGTTGGGGGAAAATTAAAAAACTGGCCATGGAGAGGGGAAAATGGTATCAGTTTGTCCATTCCTACTCTTGAGATACATATAAAAGGCACTGAAAGAAAGGCTAAATAAATAAATAAAGGCAGGCAGGCAGTGTTTGGCTCTCAACCTAATGAGCCTGATATTCATTTATGATGTTTTTAGCCAGCCTTTCCTCCAAGAACTGGAAGGCAGTACTGCTTGCTGCATACCTTTATTATCCTCACTATGATGATACAAAATTAGGCCAGCCTCACAGAGTAACTTGGTGAGTTTCACAGCCAAGGTTATGAATTCAGGAGATTTACATGCTGAATCAGGCCCTTGGTCCTGTATGTTGAGCCTTGAATGACAGTAGAAATCCAAGGTGTTAGGAAGAAATTTTCCCATATGGGCCACAAAAGCTTTCTGAGCAAATAAAAAATGTTGGACAGCTACCCAACCTGCCCCCAAAAAGGTAAGTAGAACTAATATAGAGTATCCTGTGGAGGAGGACGCAGGTAACCTTTTAGTAATCAGTGTTTTGTAACTGGTTATGTCCCATAAGAAAGACTTCCCCCATGCAGCAGCCATTTTGTGAGAGTGTCCACATGTTATCCAAGTTCCTAATATACCCACTGGTTCCAAAATATCTCAGATTCTTGCTCTAGCCAGTGCACCATCCAGGTTCTACTTTTTGTATACATTCATTTTGACTAACTTTGTAAGTGACACATCAATCTCTTTGAACCAGGTCTGGGTTGAGTTTACAACAGCTTCAGGTTGAAAGACATGATAAAACAATTAACTACTTTGTAGTATTCTTTGCTGTTGGATCACTCCATGGCAATATGGCAGCAGAGTTATTTCAAAATTGAGCTGAATAGAGGAGGCTTCTGAGGGGAAAAAAGACAGCCATCAGCAGAAGCTCCAATTTCTCTTCTTCATGATGGCCCTTTCATCAACTGTGAAAAGTAACTTAGCAGAAAAGGTAAGCGATCCACCTCCATTCATCCTCCATCTCCTCCTCTTTCTTGAGGACATCAGAAAGAGAGTAAGCTACCATCTTTCCATCTCACAGCCTATAGGAAGACCTCAGGAGGGGATCCCTATAAGAGGCTTTTTCAGACTGGGAAATATGGGCAGCCCCTAGGAAGCTTCCGAGGGAATCACAAACGTGCCACAGAAAGCAGCATCAGCCACTGCCTCCAACACTAAAGTCAGCTTGGAAACATTATCTAAAGAATTCAGAAATAAATTCTCAAACTTTCATAATATAAGATAGAACCACCAAGGATATACAGGGAAAGAAAACTTTTGAGAAAATAGGAAGAGTTTCAGTGTAGCCTTAATTTAAATCTCTGAAAATGTTGCATAGTTGGGAGATCTTAGGGAAGGAAAAGGTTGTCATGCAGGGATTTTGATCCCCCCCCCAAAAAAAAATCAGGCATGAAAAGTTGCCTCCTGTAAGTTTTATCCCAAGTTGGCAATGTTATGAACCAACAATCATCTGATCTATATCATGTGGCTAGGAGCCACCACTGAAATGCCTCATTATACTTCCAATGTGTCATTCTGTGAAAATATACAAATGGCAGCTTCAAAATGCTTGGCTGTGATCCAAGGATCAGCAGCCAAGGACAATCATCTGTGAACCTCATAAGCTTCTGAAGGTGGTTGCAGCTGATGTGAGGCATGGTTAAGGAGATGCAAGTTGGGAGGAAACTCTAAGGTCAGAGATATCCCATGGTTACTAATGCTTTAGAACTGAGAAATCTCTGAGGTACAAGTGATGATTACAAGGAAATACATTTATGTCTTGACCCTTTCATGGGACAATCTACTAGGAAAATAGTGAGGAAAGAAGCTTATAGCCCCCTGAAAGAAAAGAGCTCAGTAGAAGTGGAGTGGTGGTGTTGATAGAGGAAGAGGAAACCTGATTACTGTTTTTCCTGACTCTCTTAGGGCTGACAAAAAAAGCCCTTGGCCTCTGAATATCCTATACCACTAATTTTTTTTTTAAATTGGATTTGGGGAAAAGACTGAGCCGAAGACAGGATGGTAGGGGCCACAGTTGTAAAAATACAGCCATTATTGTTAAAATAGAGGTGATTAAAAACTGAGTACTTGTAAAAAGTCCCTAGTGCAGTGTTTCTCAGCCTTGGCCACTCATCTTAAAGCCAGTTACCCTTAAAAATAAGAACAGTGTGTCCATCAGTGGCATTCAGAAAGCTGTTGAACCTAGCTGTTTAAATAGATTTTGGGGATCCAGAGATGTGATAAGTAGACATTTGGATTTGTATGGTAATGTTTACTGTGGTTTTATGACACTTATTTATGTATTTATTCAATTTGTATAGCCGCCCATCTCAAACCTGTGACTCTGGGTGGTGAACAATCTTAAAAACAATGAAACAGTTAAAATACAATACAAAAAAGAAATTATATACAAATAGCATCCAAGAGATATTATAATCCATTGGTGTCAATTAATTTATAGTTTTTATAGTTTAGTTAATTTAGTTAGTTGATGGTTTAATTATGGTTTATTGAAATTTATTTATATTTTGTTATACCTTATATATTTTGTTATTAGTCTGCAGGCTCAATTGAAGTGATGTAGAAATAGTTGCAATCAATCAAAGAAATATACCCATGCTGAGGCAGCTCCCTGCAAGTGAATTTTCCCCTTAAGTTTTTTCAGGCATGTAAGCAGCCAGTGTAATGACCACAGAGCTTGAACGGATTTTCAAGAGTGACCGGCTAAAACAGCTTATAAAAATCAAAGTTCTTATTCTTTTTCCATCTTCAGCAAAGACTCACCCAATCTGAAACTTGCTTCTATTGGTAAGGAGCCTGATAAGCTCCCAACCAACCTGAGGAGCTCCCAATGTGTTAGGATGTAGTTAGGATGAAAGTATTTTCTGACAACCTGTCTAAATTTGTTACCTTAAATCTAAATACTGATCTCCCTTTAGGACCACCAGTGTGCCATTGTTCTTCCTTTTCTTAATGGAAACCTTTTGACTAGATAAATTCTTAAAAGCTTGGACAGAATAATTCAGTATTCCTGAGGTCTGAATTTGTTGCAAAGGTTAACAAAGACCATCTCCCTACTAGAGACTTACTGTGTCTTTATAGCACCAACCAGCCATCACTGAAGTAATATAAAGATTGTTTTCATTACTGCTATTTTGGGACAAATGACTGTTGGATGATTCTGGAAGATACTGTATGCTGTTTGTGAGGAAATGACCTTAGAAAGATTTCTCTTAGGAATAAGGTATGTCAAGAAGAGACTGTGGAGATAAGCAGTCAAGAATGGGGGAGCATATTATTTGGGGATTAAGCTTTGGGGAATACAATTGCTCATAGTTATGGCGGCTTTGTTTTCCTTGATAGTATAAAATTTGGTTTCCTAAGGTTCTAATTATGTAAATGCACAGTTGCAAACTTCTCTGTTATTGGTGAAGAGACCTGCCTCCTTGCCAGATCACAGGAATGCTGTGAGAAGGGCACTAGAAAGTCTCCACCCTAATATACAGTATATGGTACTTTTGTCTCTAATGTTCAGTTCAGTTGCTGGAATTCTTGTAATCTTATTCTTTTCTTCTTGATAAATCTTACTAAAGAGGAAAAAACAAAAAGCTGCTAGAGGGGAAATGAACTTAGATTTTTCTTCAGAATAACTTAGGGATGGGACTGCAATTGCAAACCATCATGGTTTCACATCCCTCATATTCTTCTACTAAAGAAAAGGTTACTGAGCCATGAGATCTCTGCCTTGGCACAAAGAGATCATTCAAAGCCACATTTGCATCCAGATGTCTAATTCCAGAGTGAAAAGAAAGGCAAATTCTGTAGATTTCATTTTACATAGAAAATGAAACACCAAATGCCATGGGTTCATTTTATGCCACCCTAAGGAAGCCAAATCTGCTTAGGCCCCATTCAGACTGTGGGCTGTGCCCACGTCCACATTGCTGTATGATGCCACCTGGAGAAGAAATGCAGTACTTACATCGACAATGAGGAAATCAAGCCAGCACCAAGCATTGGTGAAGTACTTCTTAAAGCCATAGGCTACCCATTTCAGAAGCATTTCCAGAACAAAGATATAGGTGAAGATCTTATCCGCATACTCCAACATGGTTTTAATGTTCTTTCTTTCTTCCAAGTAGATGTCTTCAAAGGCCTGGGAGAATAAAATGGCATATTAGAGCATTACACATTCCAGATATTCTTTCTGAAAAAGAGAAATAGAGCTTCAAAGGAGTTATCCATAAATGACAGGATGAGAACAAATCTTTAGGAAAACTGTTGCCACCAAAAAATACCCAATATGGTAGAAAGCCTTAAAATGATGCTCTAGACTGCCTGTTGATTTAGCAGCTCTGTATGCAGAATCAGTAAAACTATCTGCATATAGGCTTTCTGCAGTGACTATAGGATAGGCCCCTAAGGAAGAGGGCATTTCCTCACCAAGCAAACAAATGCTGCAGTGCAAATACACATTTGTAATCAGGTAGGTTGTGGCAAGCCACTGAAAAGAAGAGCCTACATGAGATTCCAGGAAAACAGAAAGAAAGAGTCAATAGTAACTATAAGCTAAACGTGGCTGATCATGACCTCACTTGCACCAAACTATGGCATAAAGATATCCTGGCAACTTGTTTTTTTTTTTTTTTTGCCCCATAACATTTCCTTCATCTCATCCTCAGCCCATCAGTGAGACTGCCTTATGTCCTCCTCAGCTGTAACTGGTATTAAAATAGCATTTTCCTCTTATTCCAATGCCATTTACGGGCAATGTCAAGGTGGGTAAAATCTGTCTGGATGTATTCCCTATTATCTTGGGGAGGGGGGGAGGGAGAGACAGCGGCCTGGCAGGGGTCTGGCAGTGACTGGGAATAGAGGCAACAAAGGCAGGAACAGCACACTTCATGCTAATATAGATTTCTACCAACTCAAGGATGGGTGGAGAACACATGATCTCAGTAGCAGGGATAGCTGAGAGTAAAGCCAAAGCTCTCCTCACTAAAGACTATTTACATTACAGTAGAACCCAGTCCTGAAATCTCTCCTTTTTGCTGCCAAAACATAAGAATCATTATTTTCGCACTTGCCGTTGTATGACAACAGCCACTGGGCTGTTGACCTTCTGGGATGCAGAAGAAACATAGACATGTGACTTACAGTTTCCAGCAAGTCAGCGCTGCATACTCTTTTTTGACCACCAATTGTTTTCCATTGTCTTAGCCAGAGATCTTACTTATCTGCTGCTACCTGAGATGCCTGGAATACTTCATCTAAGCTAGAGGATTCAGGGCCTCTAATTAGTAATTTATCCTCAAATCTGTGATTTTCTAAGAAGAATTCACCCCTTTATGCCAACAAAAGACAACCAGATTAAGCCTTGAATCTTTCCTCAAAACAGCAATAGGTGGTATCTTCTATCGTATCTAAGAGGAACCACATACTGTGGGGGGGTGGGGGGCGGTATAGGGCAAGTTTCATTCCCCACCAAGTGTTATCCTATCCACCTTTTGCTGCAATTTTCTGCCTCTCACAATCTGCTGAAGTATCCACTTTGCTTTGCCTAAAGGTAGGACCACCCTTGAGAATGAACATTCATTTCTTACAAACTCCTGAAATTTGTATCTGATATACAGACCACATGTATTAAAAAAAAATAAGGGATGGAAATTGTAGGTTCTATATTTACCAAAGCTCCACTGCTGAGAAGAATCATGAAAATGATGAAAGTCTCAAACCAACTGTGTTCAACAATTTGATAGCAGGTTTTCCTCAGCCGCCACCAAATTTTGCCAGGGAATTTTGTGATGTCTGCTGAACAGCATGGAAGAATTCGGACACAAGCTAAAAAAGACAAAAGGGCAGGAAGAATCAGTTTAACATTGGAAATTACTATGGATGGATCTCTTTGGATGCTCCACATTATTTCGAGTATTGTCCATTATTTTTGCTACCCTATTTCAAAATATTTCAGTGATATTTAGTTGCTTTAAAAAAAAAGGACCAAATATTAAGCCATGAATACCTTTCTTTTGTCTCCCAACCCCCAAAGGCATATTATGCAGCTGCATGTAATACAATAATTTGTGTTTATTTCACAAACTATCCCAAAAATTTGGATAAAAAATCTGCAAAAGATTATTTCAAGAGCATCAGAAACACGTTTATGGAAGGGATGCCTTTTATGATAAACAAAATAAATTGCTGGGATTAATCTTATAGCTGAATTCAACAAGAAGTTGAATATAAGGATACCAGAAGATTTCCCATCTGGATTCCCATCATGCTCCACCTTGCTCAAGTAGAGGCTGTTCAGGAATCCAGGTAGATATTTTTTTTCCAGCCTCAGTTGGGGTGGTTGGAGATTGAACCTGACACCTTGGGGCATACAAAACATATGTTCTAGCATTATTGTTGCCCAGTTTTGAAGTGGGCTAAGTGAGTATATGTGATAACAATGAAGAGATAGAATCAGGAATGGATGGGCACCGAATGATTGAATACGAAAATGAGTGACTAGTATGAAAGATGTACACAGAGGTGATATCATAGAATGAGGATCAAATTGCAAAACACTCATGAAAGAAGAGTGACTGGGTCAAGAAGGAGGCAGAGACTGAGAAAGTTGTGGTTGGATAGAATTGATGAGGTCCTCAAAAAGAGAGAGTTTAAATGTAATATAGGAAATGGTGTATGGTCATGAGGGAAGCATGACTGGTTTGCAAGGTGTGGAGAGTTATAGTGAAGCAGGCTAATGCAAACAAAATTTAGCTATATATCCTTTTCTTTGTTTACCTCATGCCTTAATTTCTTTGGCTTATTACTCCTTATTCCTTTTCTCTGCTTTGCCCAATGCTGCTTATCCCCAAAAAGGAGTAGAATGATGGGCATTTATGGGAATAAAGGACAGAGTCCCTGAAGCATAGCAGTAGGTATCCTTTTGTTTGGCACCTGGTTTTGCACTGAACAAAGCAACGTTGAAATTGAGCCATGTGGCTGACAGGTTGCACATCCCTGAGCTAAATCAACATTCTGCCCCTTTCATTTAATGACTGCTGATGAGAACTAATGCCTTACTGGGCTCCAGTTTTCCTAGCTAAAGTTTGCTTACAATGTTTCTTATGATTCATTGGTAACAGATATAACTTTGGTCCAGACTGTGGTGGTGGGTAATCATTCTAGGAATAAAAGCAAGGCTTTTAATGCAATTTAAAATGATGCATGCCATTTTCACAGAGACTCTCACTTTTGTCTGTCTGTCTGTCTGTCTGTCTGTCCGTCCGTCCCTTCCTTCCTTCCTTCCTTCCTTCCTTCCTTCCTTCCTTCCTTCCTTCCTTCCTTCCTTCCAATCCTTTCCCTTAAAGCACGACCATTTCATTGCAGGCAAAATCCTAAGTGACATCACGATAAAATCTGCAATGTGACAATGGCTTATTGTGTGTGTGTTTGATTGTGTGTATGGATGGATGGATGAGAGAAAGAGAGTGGAGCATAGCGTGCTTTAAAATAGCAGGCTTTTACTGCCATGAGAAAGGAAGATAATACTAGGTTGTCACAGAGCAGGAGGGCTTGATCAGACAGAAAATGTTTGCAGATGAACACAAGATATTTAGAGAACTCTTCAAAGCCATCCTTCCTCCAGGTATTTTTTTACAGTTTCCATCACCCTCTGCTATCGTGAAGTTGCTGGGGCTTGCAGTCCAACACTGCAGTGTCCAACACCTCTGAGGCTGCCAGACTGATGAAGCCAAGGGGAGCAAATAAATACACGCACTCTTATATGGGAATCTGCAGGGACGGTCAAAAAAGTAAAGATGGTGGGCACAACCACACATGTGATGCATGTACTGTGAAAAGGAGGGAGGGTTTCTCTCATGTGATCAAAGCCACCCGCTTGACTTTTTTTGACCCTCTGTGGATTTTTTTTTTTTATCTGCGCTCAGTCGTTACCGACTCTGCAGTGACTGCTTGGACGAGTCCTTGCAGTTTTCAAGGCAAGTGTTTCGGGAGTG